CCCTCCCCCCCTCAGGCTCGGCCCCAGACCCCCCCTCTCCTCCCCTCAGCCACCTTTCGCCTCACCTCGGGCGGCGCGGAGGCCGCCGCAGAGCAGCGCCGCCAGGAGGCAGGCCGGGGCCAGCAGCCGCATCTCGCCGGCTCGAGCGGGGCTTGGGGGCTTCTCCTCCGCCCCGCGCGCGCGCGCCCCGACGGCCCACCACACTCGCCGAAGGAGGGGGGAAAACGGGCGGGCGAGAGACCCCTTCGCTCCGGCGGCCGCCGCGTCCTCCCCCGCCGGCGACGAAGTAAGATGGCGGCGCAGGCGCTCGCCGCTCCTCCCGCACCGGTTGCTAGGCGAGGGAGGGAGGGACCAACGGGGAGAGCCGCGAGGGGGGGACAAGGGGCGTACCATCTGCGCCACGGAAGCGGGGGGGAGGAGGCGGCTGGATGGATGGAGGAGCGGGGCGGAGCCTCTTCGCTAGGGAGAGGGGTTGAATAATAAAATAATAAAAAAATATTATTATTATTATTATTATCATTATCATTATTAGTACTGTTATCATTATCATTATTGTGATTGTGATTATTATTAGTATTAGTATTGTTACTATTATCATCATAATTATTATCATTATTATCATTAGTAGTATTGTCATTATCATTATTGTGATTGTGATTATTAGTATTGTTACTATTATCATCATAATTATTATCATTATCATTATTAGTATTGTCATCATTATTGTGATTGTGATTATTAGTATTAGTATTGTTACTCTTATCATCATAATTATTATCATTATCATCATTAGTATTGTCATTATCATTATTGTGATTGTGATTATTATTAGTATTAGTATTGTCACTATTATCATCATAATTATCATTATCATTATTAATATTGTCATCATTATTGTGATTGTGATTATTATTAGTATTGTCACTATTATTATCATTATCATCATAATTATTATTAGTAGTAGTAATACTATCATTATCATTACTATTATTATTGTGATTGTGATTAGTAGTACTATTAATATTGTCACTATTATCATTATCATCATTGTGATTGTGATTATTATTGCTATTATTATTATTATTATTAAAAGGCTCTTTTCCTTTTCAAGGGGTTGGGACTGTTGTAAGTCAAGGACTGCCTGTATATGTTGCATAAAAATGTTATTGTGCGTTAAATATTGTACTTTGCTTGTGAATGGAGAATCATATCCTACACTGAACATTCCCTAGATAAAAGGATAAATAAACGCAGGATGCAATCAGGAAACGCAGAGAGAAAGCGATTCTGACATGCACAAACAGCACACTAAGTTCCTCCAGTTCGATCCGATAAATATAAAATATAAACCCAAAACCTGGATGTTGGTTGGCCTTGCTTCTACATCTATGTGTGAAAGGAGAGGAAAAAAAGGAAAGCAATGCTGCGTTTCTTTCTTTTCTTTTCTTTTTACCCACTGAGGTCAAATACTGGAATAAATGACAAATATCTAGTAGGCGGAACTTGCAATCGGGGCAAATTCTCCAGGATTTGGTCAAGGTGGAGGCGAGACACAAAGAACAATGCACAAAGACTAGGCCGGAAAAAAAGGAATGTTAAATGTTCGGTTTCGTTGTGGCAACCGACGGTCCGTAGACCTTCCTTTAGGGATGGCACAAGAGAAGGCGGGCCAGAATTTCTCCGTCCAAACCAGGTGATTATTAAATCAGTTCTGCCTGATTTTACGACCTGTTTTGCCCCGGTTGTTAAGTGAATCTCCCCCGTGAATTGCGTTTCGATGCTTCTGATAAAACCCCAACAGCTCCCCAAGCATCAACATTTGCAGGATCCAACCTGGGTCAGTCACCAGAACCAGAGGTTTAATCTTCCAAGCTTTCGGATTGGTGCTGGGGCTCATCCGCAGATAAGATAGATAAGCCATTTGTCTGAAATGGTATAGGGTTTCCTGCTGAGCAGGGGGTTGGACTAGAAGACCTCCAAGGTCCCTTCCAACTTTCTTCTTCTTCTTCTTCTTCTTCTTCTTCTTCTTCTTCTTCTTCTTCTTCTTCTTCTTCTTCTTCTTCTTCTTCTTCTTCTTCTTCTTCTTCTTCTTCTTCTTCTTCTTCTTCTTCTTCCTTCTTCTTCTTCTTCTATTATTATTATTATTATTATTATTATTATTATTATTATTATTACCTTTATTGCTATTTTTAGTGTAAGCGCATTGGCCCACATTAAAAATGAAATTCTGTTGCCTGCTTTCAAAAGAAAGTATATATCCACCTATACACATACATAACACACATACACACATGCTATATACATATATGTATGCACATATCCATGTGTTGGCTGGAGCGCCCGGTCTACCACGTATAGGATAAATCAGTCTGTTCTGCCGTTTCGCTCCAATCTAGGAGCATGTTTTGCAGGCAAACGTCACATACTGTGAACATTGTAAATTCAAAATATTTTGTGGCTGACAAAAAGTTAGTGGGAGAGCTTGAAATAGCTATACTAGTCTCCCACTAACTCTTTTGTCAGCCACAAAAATTTTGAATATATAGCCTGGCAGGCCCTTTTTTTTGTCTTTTGCAAAATCAGAAAATACACAGAGAGAATACACTTCGAAGCCTCTGGGGTGTTATTGTTTCCAGCTTGAGTTTTATTTTTAAATCAGTCACGTGGGCCTGCATCGCACCAGAGGATGGCAATGTCCCCCAGGCAGGGCTTCTTTCTTTTCTTTTTTTACACAAAGAGAAAAATCAATGTAACTGATCATTTCCTGTTGACGGCCTCTCCCAACAACTTGCATTTCTTTGCCTCCAGGTAAAAAAATATCCCTTTTAGCCGAGCCACCTGCTAGACCAGTGGCTCCCAACCTTTTCTATATCCTGCATCCCTAGAACGCTTCTTATATATTCTCGCACCCCTTACAAAAGTTCAAAATAATGGCATATAGATTATAATTTTGAAAACCCAAGTTCCCCCCCCCCCCGGAATATCGTCTCGCACCCCAGGTTGGGAACCCCTGAACTAGACTGACAGACCTTGGCTAAGGTTTTGAATGACTTGGTTGTGAAGGCAGATTTTCGCTCCTCTCACACTCCCATCTTCTTTGGTGCAGCCCTGTATCCTCCCTCTCTCCCCCTCCTTTCCCCGTAGCATCATCGTAGGCTGCTTGAAGAGGCCGCAGACAAATTGAAAAAGCACAAAATCGTTTCCCTTGACATTTTGGAGACGCAGCCAACGGCCGAAAGGCTGATATTTCCCCAGTAAAAAGAAAGCAGCATCAGCAAATTCAATCAGAGTGGGATAACAAAGAGAAAAAAGGTCTCCGGATGTAGACGGTGGGTATGTGGGTGCCTGTGAGAAACAGCGTCTCTAAACGCAACTTGACCGTCATGTTTTCCTCCACGGATGTAGCCAGCTTGTGTTGCCGACTGCAAAACTACTTAAGGACTGAACGGAACAGCCAGCAGAAAGCGTGACATCCTACGGTCCCCTTTGGAGACATCAGCAGTAAGGTTCTAGTCCTCATGGGTACTGCTGAAACTCTGGATGCTTAGAAACTTTATGTTTATTAAGAATGGCCTGATTTCAAGACAGGATTCATATACAGAAGCAAAAGCATAGCCCACAAAGTATGGAGGTCAGGTGGGGAATGATATGCTCAAAACATTCAGAATGTGGTTAGTCCTCATGAGGCCTGGCTGCAGTGCCTGGCCTTTCTGATGCTAACCAAATACATTTAAAAATATTTCCATCTGCCTTGCTCCTACATAAGAGGGCAGACATGTTGTGTCTTGAAGTGAAACAGCAAATATCCCCCCTAAAAATCAAGGCGACGTTAGTTTTACAGGGAAGATGGGATCTTTGTTTGATCTCCATAGCGACCCTGCGAGGTAGGCCGGGCGAAGAGATCCAGAGGTCACCAATGGAACTGACCCTCACTCTCCCCAAACTGAGATAGCAATTGGGTTTATGAGAGCCAGCCAGATTTAAGTGCCATTTTCTTACAGAGAAAATTCCTTCCCCAAATGGTCAGGGTTAGTCCATCCCGGTTTGATCTCACTTGATAATGTGTGATCCCAGCTATCCGCCTTTGTGAAAGAGGGCTAAGTGTGGTTTAGGAATAAATGTGGTTTATTCAAGATGATGGCTTACCGCAGGGTAGGAACCCCGTGTTCTGGAGCCGATGCCAGTTAATTAAATCTGAGGAGGAAAAGAGAGCTAGGCTCCACTCATTTATATACAATTCAGGAGTGGCCAAACTCGCCATTTTCAGCCAATGGGGATGCTGCCGTTGACAGCCCAGGTGGCCATTGGTCTCTTGGCCAGCTGGAAGGCCAATGGAACAGTTGGACCAGGAGCCAATGAGAGAAGCCCCACATGGTGCCACCAATCAGGTGCCAGCAGGTTTGGAGGGAAAGGGGTATATAAAGGGGGACACCCCCCCCAGCTCAGAGCTTTTGGGCTAATACCATTTTTGGTGTATGGGGGGGGGGACAATGGCAGGAAGTACTAGTATGACTTGGGCAATACCAAAGGTAGAACCCCCCCTTTCGATCTCAAATAGCACGGTGGGGGGCATTTGTCTACCCCTAAGCCAGTGGTTCTCAACCTGTGGGTCGGGACCCCATTTGGGGTCGATCGACCATTTCACGGGGGTCGCCAAGCAAGGCTGGCCGCCATTTTTTTTGTCCGCCATTTTTTCCCCCTTTTCCGGCGGGTGCCTTACCTCCCTTGGGCTGGGCCAGCTGGTGGTCGGCCTGCTCTGTCTCTGCCGCTTGCCAGCTACGCCTTGGCCGGCGCAGGGGGCGGAACTACGCATGTGCGGCGCTCCCGGGCAGGGAAAGTCCTCGACTTACGACCGGTTGGGTAGTCCTCGACTTACGACCGGTTTAGTCCTCGACTTACGACCGGTTTAGTCCTCGACTTACGACCAGTTTAGTCCTCGACTTACGACCGGTTGGGGTCGCGGCATTAAAAAGGTTGAGAACCACTGCCCTAAGCTAATCAGGAGGGGCACAGCTGACTTTGGTGCATCAGAATGGGACTAGATGGACCGGCCCACTCTGGAGGGAGATTTGAACTGGACAACACCCCTGCTGTGTTGGCTGTACATTATGGGAGTTGGGATCCACCCAAGC